GGGGGGGGCATGATGACCCACTCTTTAAGAGCACATTCATCAAGGGGCGCTGCCAGTGTCACCCGTGTAGACTTCTGCTTGACGGCCCTCCCGTCTCCAATAAAGGTTACAAGTTTAACGATTACTCAATCTCTTTGAGCTCGATCTTAGGGGACTGTGCCTTGTTGAAAATAGGTCTCGCCTGAAACCAAGCCCTGAGCAGTGGGGAAAACTAAAGGCCTCGCATGGCGATCCGTCAACCCTTATAATCCTTTCCCCCTACCTAATATTAAATAAAAGGGGGAAGGGATTGAGGCACAAAGGTCCACTCAAGCACCTCAAGTCTCAAATCCCAAATGCCCAAACCTTCAAGCCCAAATCTTGATTTTCGCGGCCGAAGCCACCACTTGCCAAGGGCCCAGTGCGGCAACCGGAGCAGATAAGGCATCTGGCATCGGGGCTTTCGGTTGTGGGGTTTTGAAGTTCAAGGTCATGAGTCACATTACGTCTCAGCCTACCATTTAAGACTTAAGGTTTCGACCTTCAAGTTTTCTGGCTTTTTGGGCGAAGGCAGACATGATCCCAATCCTGACCAAAAGGGCCTTCAGCGATTGTTGTGGCAGGTGAACACGAACGGTTGCGCATCAACGTTTGCCAAACGAACAACTACCAAGACTTACTTGCCCTCGTGCAACAGTTTTGGGATGTGTCCTCGTAAATGTGCTCTAGGCTGCGCTTGTTGACAACGGCTTTGAGACTTTCAAAGCCCATTAAAAGTCTTCCCTGTGCATTGAGTCAGAGGATCTGCATTTGGATGTTGCGTACCCTCCTTGCGCACATCGTTCGAGGCGCGCCCACGACCCCCTGAAGCTGCTTGTACAGCATCTTCGCAACTCGGGGAGACACCCTAGATGTGGTTCAGGGTGCTTGTCTGACTTCTAGCGGAAAGAAAGATCCTGTAAAGTACACCTACTCCCAGAACCCCGCAAAAAAAAGGGCTTGAATCATGGGGATATGGTTTGGAGGATGAAGTATGCTTTAACAGTTCAACTTTAACATGTGTCGGGAAAGTACGGGCCAAAAGACGGCTGGCAGGCAATATTTGGCTCCACTTCTACCACTTCTACCTAAACCCTAAACCCTAAACCCTAAACCCTAAACCCTAAACCCTAAACCCTAAACCCTAAACACCGGCCCCAGACACCCAAGAAACCAAAGCTAGAAAGCATGTCAACCTGAATCCTCAACGCGCAAAACCCTGAATACGAAAGCCCGGAGCTCTGAACCTTCATCCTACACCCCTAAACCCTTAACCCTAACCCCTAAACCCTAAACCCTAAACCCTAAACCCTTAACCCTAAACCCTAAACCCTAAACCCTAAACCCTAAGCCCTAAGCCCTGAACCCTACACCCTAAGCCCCTCGACCCTTCGCTCGACGACATCCTCAAACCCTATACAGAGGTCTGGAACTAAGACGTTGAGTCTCGCAGTTTCTGCTTTAAGGTTCTCTGAAAGCGTCTATGGTTAATAATGGTTTAGGGTATAGGGTTTAGGTTTAGGGTTTAGGGTTTGGGATCTATACTAAAGGTTATACCTGGCCCCCTCACTGCAATAAGGCTGTGGCTCAGGTCAAGTTCCAAAATGGATCCAGAGACTCGTGATATCAATCACCACAAAGGCAATTGATTTCCCTGATCATCTCAATGGATGGTTCGACCCTGGCGATCACGCTCTGGAACCTTTGGATCAGCGTCAAAAGAGCCAGGCGTTCCAGCTTCCACCTCTAGCACACGAGTGATCCAAAGGGGGAGTGTCTTCGCTCGGCCTGTAGGTTTTTTCGCCTACCATTGCAAGGTGTTCCGCCAACAACTCCAAGATGGCGCATGCAAGGTCCTTGCGGCGACGGTTCTGCACTTGGCTGTCCTCAACAACGTCATAAGCACCGTGCTGCGAACCGTGTCGCCCTGATTCAGGAAGAGGTCAAACTTTTGAGGGACGCCGTCCACGGCCATGATCTTGTCCAAGTCCCTGCTGTCCAGTTGGCCAGTGACGCCAAGATCGGACGCAGCCTGGATGTGGAGGCACGCTCCGTCTCTTCGAGAGCTTTCTCGAGTGCCGCTTGTTCATTGCCCTCGGCTTGAATTGGCAAGGTCCGCTGCTGGACTATCTGAGGTAAGGCATGGCCTAAACAAACCCGAAACCCTAGGGGTTCAAAGTTTAGGCTTTTGCTTGGGGCTTAAGGTTCAGAGTTTAGGTTTAGAGTTTACGGTTTAATTTGACAGGTCGGAACAATGTGAAAGATAGCCCCTATATTAGCTATAGCATGTTATAGTATAATCTACCCCACAGCCTTGCTCAAACATTCTGAAGGCCCCTCTCGTACGGTTTGGGTTTAACCCTCAACCCCTAAACCCTTTGACCCCAAACACCTGAACCCTAAACCCTAAACCCCTAAACCTCAACCCCCAAAGGCGTTTCAGGTTGCATGTCTGTGTCGTGGAACCCTCCCTCTAGAGGTGTTCGCACCCCAGGATACTCCGAGAGATTGTTTGCTCTTTGCGGGAGCGGAACACCGGAGCTTGTCTTCCCCGAACCATAACCCTATAACCGCTCAGCCTAAAGCTTTAAGGGTTTAGGGTTTAGGGTTTAGGGTTTAGGGTTTAGGGCCTTTTGGAGGTTTCGGAGCGCCCACCACGAGACCCTGTAATGCATTAAGAAGACAGATATACGTCTTTGTTGCATCACTCGAGCCGTAAAGCCCCCATGTTACCCCGGGCCCTTTCCCAAATACCTCTATCCTAAGCCCGGAACGCTGAACCCTGAGCCCTCTACACCCTAAACCCTATAGTTACTTAGATGCTGCACTTAAAGGGTTTGTACAAGAGCAGCCTGCGAAAGTGCAGGGTCGTGAACTCGGTGAGGTTGCCTGGCCGCAAGACATAGGAAGAGCGTAAGTCTATTTTAGGGCGCCTTACTAATTGGAATCGGTTTCAGGTGTGCCATAGTATAAATACGGACACTACAGGCGTTTAGGGTCAAGGGTGTTCAGGGTTTCGGATCAAGGCTTTTGGAGGTGACGGTGTCTTCAACGTACCCTACGACCCTACGAACACAGCCGTAAAGTCCTTCCCAAATCCGAGCATTGATTGTAAGTCAGCATCCCGGAAAAACCGTTGCACCATCACATCTCCAGTTCTTACAGCCAGCAGATGGAGCTTGCAAGCATGCAGTCGTCCGCGTGAAGCCGTATAAAGACCCCTGCAGCACCTTGCGCAAACCACAGCAGCACAACAAGAAAAGACAAAAAGAAACATAAACAACAAATCCGCGAACCATCAAACCCTAAACCCTAAGCCCTACCACCCGGTAGAGGGTTTTTTCCTAACGCTGGCGGTCCCCGATCTCATTTGCTAATGTTGGCTCTTATTTTGGGTTGCAAATACTGTAGATTGCAGCATTTGCTAGTGTTTTGCACCAAGCTATCGGGGAATTGCAATTAGTTCCTGTCTCGTAGCATTCGTTACTGTTTTGCATCAAGCTGTTGAGGAATTGCAATTTCGAGGCTTGTGCTTTACTATTTCCTGATGCTTTGGAAGGATTTCGTGTGATTTCCCCAGGCTTTCGTAAGGAAAACGTACGTTAGCTTAGATTTCTTGGGTGACACACTACTTTCCTTACAATTTGGACGAATTCCGTGCTATCTCCCAAGGTTTACCTCATTACCTTGGTTACGTTCTTCGTCGTGGTTGTGGTTGTGGTCGTG